GTCACTTATTAGAAGTACAAAACGAGGATTTGTAAAGAAGAATGTCGGAGGATTTCGATATAAGCCAAGAGGAGACTGGTTTTCCTTTGCTAAAGTAAGGAAACTTTGCTTCCTTTGCTCCTGTTAACAAACGTTGGTTTTCACAAGACTCACCGGCGCATGCGTAGTGCTGAACTCATACGTCATCAGCCCGGAGTTGCTTCCATGTACAACTGTTGGTGCAAGTTAAAGTGATTTATTAAGTTTTGAATATGGATATTTTTCTTACAAAAATGCATCGATTCGCTACAGAAGGCCTTTGTTTACCCCCTCGGAGCCGTGCAGCATAAAATCAATCGCCTAAAACCATACTTTCCAGCGCAGGCAAACCGCTGGATGGATAACCCCATTTCGTCAAAATTCAAAGATGAGGGATTTGCACTCAAATCTATCGGACGACCCTCTACGTTGTCAAGCGACGAATAGGGGGTACCCTCAACGTCGGTTTATGGACGTGAGGGGGAAATTACCAAACGGCAGTATGTGACGAATAGGGGTGAGACCGTGTTGTTTAAATATACATTAGGAACTTTATTCTGAGTTTCTGAATATTTACTTAATTTTTTTGTTGTTTAAAAATAGATGCCTCTCTGAGGTAAAATGCAATAGGAATGGGGCAAGAATTTGACTGAAAAAAGTCAGATTCGAACTCAGGTTGGTTGTGTCAAAAGCTAAATGCGGCTAAATCATAACTTTTACATAATCTCTCTTGTTATTAAATGGGGTTATTTGTAATTTTATTAGGCTCAACAAGGCAATGTGGGTGGAGTTCATGTAAAATAGACAAGACCAACTATTTGCACTTAGTGTAAACAGACACTCCAAATGGTTTTTGTTTTTTAACCACTCTCAGGCAACATGGTCAAAAATGGTCATGTTGCTTTTTTTCTTAATTTCTCTTGAGTCAAGCTAACTGAAGTCAACTTGATGGAAGACGCACCCCAGTTGGGACTATTAAGCAATATAATCTGCTCAGGTTCATTAATGCCTACACAAATCTTTGAGCAGATCAAGCATGGCGTGGATGTGAGCTGACAGTAATTGATTCCAGCACTGTGCAGAGAACAGCTAGCACTGCCTTTGGGCTGTTATCAATTCTCTGCAATCATCATTTCTCTGTTGAAGGTTAGCAAAGCCTACGCTATGCTAAAGACCACAATTCCATCACTCTAAAAAAGACTATGCTGAATTATTGAGCACATCATCACTTTTAAGATCATGAAACAGGAGCTATCTCAAGAGCCAAGAACACAGACAAGGTTTCTTCCAGCTCATCAGACTAATGGGAACTGCCAGAATAATTAAAGGGTGAATTTCTCAGCCACAAAACCATGACATCATGGTATGGTGCATTTTTACATGCAAAACACATTAGATGCATTTTGTGGCATAAAATCTTGACACCTCAAAGGGAAATCAATAAAGCTGTGCTCAAAATAAAAGTCAGGTGTTTGTGGGGGGCCTGAGTGCCGAAGTTTTGCATTGGGTGGGGGGGCCAACTTCATGGAGGTAAGTGTTTGTGGAGGGATGGAGTGATGACTCAAATGTGGCACAAAGTTAAAGAGGAGGATAAATAGAGAACCAAAGATAATACCAAATAAAATGAAGACATACAATAACAATAAATGTTAAACATGGTCAAAAGAGTACAGAACAGAGTACCTCTGGATATGATAATAATGCCTGAGCAGTAGTTTTGTTTGAAATGTTGTCAAGAATAGCATTAGAATAAGGTTTCCACAGGTGTGTTTGATCTTCAAATGCACTGGTATTTGTAACAGTGTTATATAACAAATCTCTCAGTGCTAAAGACAGAAACCAACAGTATTAGTTTAGAGCTGGATATAAATGAAGGATTGTGAAGCAATAACATCAGGATGACGGCTAAACCAGGGCTCTGATCCACTGTAGACTTGTACTTCAACCCTGAAGTTTACACACAGAGACATATCCGTACACTTGCACTGGCACATTCAAGCATAAAAAAAATGCTCTACCACATAAACACAGTTTCTTGTTCATATGTTCACCTGATAAATGACTGAAAGACTTAATCACTAGGATAATTACCGTAATGACAGATGTGACAGATAACAGATAGTTTTTTACATAAAAGGCGAGAACATTCAGCATTATGCTACAAATTTATTTTGTCTGCTGTTTATCAATGGTCATATCAGTTCTTTGCTCTGGCGTAATAAAGACAATATGTGTGGAACGTCAATGCAGTCACCAACTGCAACATGGAAAATGTAAATAAAACATTATTTCGTTTAAAACATCTGTAATACATTTCCAATGTTTAATTTTCTCTTTTGTGATAAAGGTAAAAACCAAGATGAAAAAAAGAGCCCTGATTCAGAATGGGTTTGTTTAATTGTCTATTCTCTGAGAGAATTAAACTATATAGGCCTTGATTTTTACCCTTAAGTAACATACCAACCAGACTTCAACAAATCCAAACAACTATCACTTTCAAAGCCCCCTAAGCTTTTCGTCTGGCCTACAAAATTAATATGTCCTATTCTTGGTTATTCTTCTTCATCATAAAACATTAGAGGTCTTTATATTATATTTTGACCAGTGTGCCAGGTGAGTTTACATATGAATTGTGAAGAATTAAAGAAATTTAGATAATGTAAACCTACAGGATGTTTGGCGCGCCACATGGCAGAAGTGTCACATTTTGGTTTGTTTACACTACAGTTTAAAAGTTTGTGGACAGTAAGATTTTTTACAAATATTTTTGATAGTCTCTTATGCTCATTTGAAAACATAAATGTTTTCTATTTTATTACATTTTAGAATGTTATTTATTCCTGTGATGGCAACCATTACTCCAGTCTTCAGTGTCACGTGATCCTTCAGAAATCTTTCTAATATGCTAATTTAGTGCTCAAAAAACATTTATTATTATTATCAATGTAAAAACAGTTTTATTGCTTAATATTATTGCGGCAACCATAATAACTTTTTTTCAGTATTCTTTGAGAAATTAGTATTTGGTAATGTCTTAGTGGTTTGTTTGTTATAGTTTACACAACAGTCCGTTTTGGTCGCCAAATTTAAATGGTTGAGTGGTGCTACAAGGGCGCTGATATACAGTAATACAGCCCTGAGAATTTTATCATTTTCAAACTTCTGTGTTTGCATGTTCCAATCAAGCTGTCTGTTAATGTACTAGAGGTGGGGTTTATTCAATGACCCCGTCTGCAGGTTACACAGATACGCTAGCAGGTGGCCGAAAGTGACTGTCTTTGTAAGTGAGTCATTGAATCATTCACTCAACCTATTCATTAACAACACTGATCATTCAGGATGGAAACCTGACTACTGTGTGTTGCTCAATTGTTCATTCTGCTTTGACATTGTTTGGAAACTGACAGAGCAAAAACAAAGTATCTGGTAATATTGTCTATAAAATGCTAGCTTTTTTGGAGAGTTAGATATTTGAGTATGTTGAAACCCAATGCTTGTATTTAAAAGTGTAATGCAGCATTTTCGCAAAAAAAATAAATAAATCTTGAGTTTTTGTCTATTGTCCTCTATTCGAATTAATAGTTTACAAATGAGGTTTATATTTCCTCAGCCTCAGATATTGTGGCCTTTATATGAATTGAGTCATGAAATCATTGCGTCTGCTAATCTGAGCCCATTCATTTTGTAGTTAAGTGTGTCATATCTATATGCATATCCTTTTTGTACATGCTTATGCAAGCCTGTGCAAGTGTGTCAGAATCACAATACCTGTTACGTCATTTTAAGCTTTATTTAAAATGTAGCTGCTTCAAACTAGCATTATATTTACAAAACAGTCAGGATGTAATACAATCATAGAATACAAACAGGATTTTTTTTTATTCACTGTGCATTCATTCCTCTCTCTATTTTGATTTGCTTCCTTAAAAGCAATTGCAAAATCATACTTGCATAATAAAAAAATAAATGACACATCAACTGCAGGACATACTAGGTTCTGTGGTATGTACATTGCCACAGAGTGATTTACAGAACCACCAGTAGTCTCCAGCTCTCACAGCGAATGTTAGGTTCTAGGGGTCTTAATAGTAATCATAATTGACGTTGGCCCCGTGTCTGTAGGAACTGGGGTCCTGTTGGCTCATAGGTGCATTCTCATCATGATGATGCTGCCGGCCCTGGTCATTTGATCTGGCCTGATCCATCCAATAGGAGATATCAGTCTCAAGTCTCTGGAAGTACATAACAGTGAAATGAAAGCGGATATATGACGCTGTATGGAAAAGGATTTAGGTTACATTTGGGCTCTTTTTTGCGCAGACACAACAGAGCATGATAGACAATTAATGGGGAAACAGAGTGAATGAAATCAATGCACATTGCAGACCAGACTCTAACTCAGTTTCACAAGTGTCACGACAAATCATGTCAGGAACTTAATGAAATGTATTGATGAAAGAAATTGAAAATATTAATAATAATAATAATAACAATAACCAAAATTACAGTTCACCCAAAAATGAAAATTCACCATACATTATTTCATCATTTACTCATCTAACCCATCTGACCTTTTTTTCTTGCATGGAACACAAAAAGAGAAATAAGTACTAGTACATACGTAAGTACTGGTAATTACTGTATATGTGGATGCAACAATAAAGGTAGGCCACGGTTCAATCAACCACAATTTTTGGTTTTGATGGCTTGGCACATCAGAGTGTTTTTTTTTTTTTTTGTGATTTGCTATTTAAAATGTGATTTTTAAAACAATTAAAAAAATAAGGCACCTGCACACCTATGTACATTGGAGAAAAACATGGATTATCATATGTCTACTTCAAATTTCTTTTGAGAGAAGAATTATTTTTCCTATTTTTACCCAAAATAGGATGGATCGACCATTATTGAGCTCTATAAACAGGTAACATCTGTTTCATTCATACTGGAAGCCATGAATGCCCCTCATGCAGAAACGCCACATATGCATCACAGAAGTAATATAACTCATGATGCAGGACATCCCTAATATGGACAAAGGCATCCAGCTATCGCTGTGACTGAATAAAAAGAAGATAGAAACTTTTTGAATGATGAAACATGAAGACAGTAAACACTCAACTGCAGCAATATATGGTTTTTCTGTGTTCTTCAAGCCATCTCATAATAATTCGGAGAGAAATAAAATGCATAGCAATTATTTAAACGCAAAACCGAAAAACCGCAATTCACAAGCATGTATTGAACCGTGGATGCTACTCCGAATGGTTCAATATTATATTGAGAACTGTGACATCCATATTGTAATATATGTAATATTACTAATATTTTTTTCTCCATTTATTTGCAAAGAATTTGGACTGAAGCTTCAAATAGGACACAAAAGCACCATAAAGGTACCATGAAAGTAATCAACAAGACTTAATTCCAGGTCTAATGAATTAGTACGATAGCTTTTTGTGAGGAATTCTACTATAAATAAAATAAAATAAAAGTAATTTAATTTAATTTAATTTAATTTAATTGTACATTTTTCAAAAATTCTCTTACTGTGTTAGGCCACCAACAGGAATGTTCAGTGCAAGTTGTTTTTCACATGGATTTGTCTGTTCAGATCAATGTGTAAAAAATGGCAGACAGGCTGAATGAAAATGCAAATTCAGGTTCTGACAGTATAGGTAGAGCGGCACTTACGTGTTACGGAGAAGAAAGGGAGTAAAACAGTATTTACATGTTTTCAGACAAGCATTCAGATTTTAGTAATCGCTATGGTGTTTATCAAACAACAAATACAAGAGTACAGAGACAAGAGAGTCGGTGTCGTGAGAAATCGAGTTCTCCTTTAGGACCCCAAGCGATTCCGACTTACAATTTGCATATGTTTACTTTAAATTTTGAAATAAGTATAATTGTTCCTATATTTACTCAAAATAGGGCGGTGTGAGCATTATGGAGCACTATAAACACGTTTCATTCATACAGAAAGCCAGAAGGCACCTGTGCGCAGAAACTCCAAGTCAGGGAAGATCTCAGTTTTTAAGTTTTGTTACAAGCTGTTATATATTAGCAATAAAAAAAGCGATTAATACATGAAAATTCTTACACATAGTTAATGTCATTTTTGTGCTTTTAGAATAACTATTAACTGATAGTTGATGGAGACCTAATTTCAAGGGAGGACCCATTTTCTCACAATGCCAGTTCTAGAATCTTCCTCTTCTATTCACATAGTCACGTAGCAAAATAGACTGTTCGTGAGTGCCTCCAAGTTGTATTTTTACGTAAGAGCAGTTGTACTAAGCATGTGACCAAAAATGCTAATCTTATTGGTTGGTCATATTTACTTGCAGTGCAATAGAAAAGAGACTAGAACACCTCTTTGTTTGTTTACCTGATATTTTGCATGTTCTTTTCAAGCAATAATAATAAAAAAAAAGTAGTCTAAACAAACCATTAAATCTCATCCATTCAAATTAAAATGTTTATCATACCGAACATTCGTTTTGGTGTGAACAGGCCTTTTAAACAGAAGAAAGTAAAACGTACTGTACATACACACAAGAGCAGCTGTGTCCAGCAGTTGAACTACCCTTACGAAAAAGAAGTTTATTCAAGTGTGCTATTAGTATACTTCTTTTAAACTAAAAAATAGGAAAGTATACTTTTAGTCTGCTTTTTATGTACTTCTCAAAAATGGGCTTTGTGTACTTCTCAGAAATATATTTAAAATGACATTTAAGTATACTTGACTTATAGCCTACTTAGAAAAAGTCTAAAGATATTTGAGCTATACTTGTGTTCCTATAGAATCCGTTTTCATTGTTATACTGTAGGGGGCGCTAGTACACATTTTCTGTACAGAATTTTAAAAAAAACACAAGTGAAGAAGAAACCGAAACAACAGATCAAAACTGTGTAACGTTATGGAATAAAATGTCGACCAATGAAGAGGTAATAATGACTGTCAAGCTTTGGGGTGTTGATTGACTCAATCTACGTTTTGATTATCGTTCTGAATCCAATTCATAGTCTTTTTT